TTAACTGAAAGCATTCAATGCCTTTTCACTGTGCGCCTTAGTTTGACCTTAACCTAACTCTCCACTTTCTCACTTCTTAGTAGCTCGTAAGTCCATTGTGACCTAGAACATTCTGCACCGCTAATTAGTATGTCCGTGGCGGCACTTGCACTTTCTTAGTGGTAGGAAGATTCGGTAGCGCTCACTAGCGGCGCATAGGTTCAGTACGCGGCACGCAGACAGTCTTCTTCGTTCGACATGAACACAACATTCGGCCAGGAAGAAGACTGTGAAGGAATGAGGTATTGAAGAAACTACATGGTGGTTTGACAGGCTCTACCGTGCCACGACAGAGGTAAACATCCATGCCCAAGGCGGAATACGATTGATAGATTGATTACTGTTCCCGAGGCAGTCATTATGTTGTTCAGGTTTTTGTGGTTGTATAGTGGATATGGAGAAAGTATAGAACAAGAAAGTAGAAGAAGGAGGGATCGCGCGGGACATTCCCCTGATATTGAACGGAGAAACCACTGGAAACCACTGATCAAAGCCGCCGCCCAGTAGATGCCCCCCCCCGGGAGGGAAGGGGACGAATCCCCTGTCGGGGGGAGTCTGGGGGATTTGGACCCGCTCATCCGGCGACTCCCGCCGCCCCCGCGAGGCTGCGGGTGGGCGCGGGGCCAGGGCGGTGCGGGAGTCGGAGCTGACGGACGGCCGTTAATAGCGCGTGAAACAGCTGAGGCTCGGTGGTCGTGTTGTTCGCGCGGCACCCGCACCCCCCCGCTACGACCACAACCCACCGGACGCCCGCAACCACATTCTTATTGCGGCTGCTGTCTGGAAGAGAATCTTGTGGTCGGCTGCTTTGATCGGGGGTTTTCCGTATCTTCTCCCATCAACGCCAGGAGAACACCGCCGGAGCAGTGCCGCCACATACGGCAACGGATCTCGGCAATCTGTCCCTTCTTTTCCCTGTCCTCTATTCACATCTTACTTACACACATATACATGCACTACCCTACGGCACATGTCGAGACACCTGGCGGGAAACTGTCTTGTTGGACGGCGATGGTACTTACCGTCCATTAGGGAAGGAACGCCGCTCTTCCTACTCGCAAAATAAAATGTCACTTTTACCGCTTGTGTTGTAAATAACTATTTTTTGATCTTATTGAAGGAAATGTTAATTCCACCAACATATTATTGTGTATTGTATGTTAAAAATGTTATTGAACTTTCCCACAATAATTATGTTGGAAAACCTCTTAAATACATTTCAGCTTGCAAATGTCACTTTGTCACTAAAGGATCAAATGGCTTCTTCCATCCTCTACAATAGAATGTTGTCCAGTCACCGATTTCACTTTTTCCCGAATACCCGACGCTTCTACCGCCCATGTCTGCCGTCAGAAGCCATCACTGCCACAGCAGGCCCATTCACCGCTACCACACTCACCACCATCATCTGTCTTATGTGACTATGTCGTATTTTCTCACAGTTCTGCAGGAGTCTTTCCAGATCTGTGGACATGGACCATGATGGAATGGAGGATGTGTGGTTCCTACGTTGAGACAATGAGAGAGGGATATTGGGACCTCCTCCCCCGGCCATTTGCCCCCCCCCCTCATGTCTGCCCATTCGTCCGTTCACCGCCCCCTTGCAGACCCCGCCGCCTACATGCGCACCCTCTCGCCCGCCCACCCTCTCGGCTGTGACAAGGAACTCTCCCCTAATTGAAAACCACTCCCCAAATTGAAGAAGACCTTTTTCCGCCTGTGAAGGCCAGTTCCGGGAGCAATCAAGGTTTTGAAGCCCACTGCAACGGCGGCCGCAGAGAGATGCGCCAACAGCAAAAACATTCCGGGTCTGATGGGAGGATTCCTCGCGATACATGTGGGAACTACTTGCGTGCCTTCTAAAAACTGCCAAGCGAGTCTACGAAAAATGATTGAAGAAATACTGTAAATATAATTTTTGTAAAGTATTTATACTGTGTTTAGGAGAAGTAAGAATGCAATGTATAGTATATTAGCAATTTTCCATCTTTCAGGTCCCTTGGACGCCTCTTTGAGAGAAACATTGTATCAGACCATTTAAAAGCATTAATTCCAAAAGAAAAAATGTATATTTATCAATTGAATTAGTGAAAGTTTTGTAATTAGTTTTATTTTAAAAACTTTAATGGAAACGTAATTTGTCGATCTATTTCCAAAATTTAAATTTCAAAGTGTTCTCCTTTTGATCGGCTTCACTTGGCACAATTGAGTATGGTTTATGTTTTGAAAGTTTTTTTGATTCTGGGGATTTGCTTCATACATTACTAATTAGTATTATCTGTAATTGGTTTGTTTTTTATGAAAATGTTTGAATTTGGTTTACGTCAGCAAGACGAGTGCATGCTGT